CATGGGCCCCTCCGCCCTGGCCCTGCCTAACTGCCCTCTTTGCCTTCGAACCTTAAGAACGAGGGCAGGGCAGGGCAGGGCAGGGCAGGGCAGGGCAGGGCAGGGCAGGGCAGGGCAGGGGCAGGGCAGGGCAGGGCAGGCAGGGCAGGGCAGGGCAGGGTGAAGGGAGGCCAGGATGGGAGCACACCGCGTTGTGGCCCTCAGGCCAAGGACCAAGCGGGTCAGGGGGGGCCAGGGGGCCACAAAGGGTGCCGGGGGGGCCAGGGCGCCGGCATAAGGGGGGGGGGGGTTTCGGGAAACAACTTTGATAGGGACCAGTACTGGGCACCGTGCCGCCGGTGCTTAGGGTTTTAGGGTTTAGGGTTTTAGGGTTTAGGGTTTAGGGTTTAGGGTTTTAGGGTTTTAGGGTTTAGAGTTTAGGGTTTAGGGCCTTGATGTTCCGTGTAGGGTTTAGGGGGTTTGGGGTTGAGGGCTTCGTGAGAGGGGTCAGGGATGAGGGTTAGGGTTTAGGGGTTAGGGTCTAGGGTTTAGGGTCCATCTTGTCTTCTGATTTGGTCCATTTACATGAGCCTCCATCAGAATGTCCAAAAGCCAATCCGTCTTTCCCTGGCGGAGTAAAGCCTAAACCCGAAACCCTAAATCCTAAACCCTAAACCGGGCAAGCAAGGACCTATCGATCTCGCCGAAAACCTTTGCTCCGCAGCACCTCTGTACTTGCCTTGAGACCTACGAAGACAATGGGACCGCCTGCCGGAAATGTCCCACTGGCGTGACATCTATCCCGGATGGAGATACTGGGTTCGCTTCAGGAGGTTCTTGGGGATCTAGAGCTTCCTTATTATTATGCGAACCTAAAAACCCTAAACCCCAAATCCCCATAAACCCTGAACCCCAAATCCGAAACCAAGCTCCCAAACCCCTCAGAGCCCAGGATAGCAGCACCAGCAGAAGCCGGTGCTGTTCCTGCCCGGAAGGGAAGACGATGGTGGGCGATTCTGCCATGTGCTACAAGTGCCTCGGGCCAGGACCTGCTTTCTGGCGAACCCTGGGGCCCGAAACTCCTAGGCCTTAGGGTTTCGGGTTTAGGGTTTTGGGATTTAGGGTTTAGGGTTTTGGGTTTTGGGGTTTAGGGTTGGGGTTCAGGGTTTAGGGTTTAGGGTATACCGTAAAAAAACAAGAAGAAGGACTCCTAATTATGCCATAGGAAAAACGCAGGTCTCCATGGGTTTAGGGTTTAGAGTTCAGGGTTTGGGCTTTCTGGTGCATGGGGCCTAGTACAGGGCTTTGAAAGGGCTTTTAGCGCTTTGTGTCCTGGGACCAGGATGCACCAATCGCGTGTGCAGCGGCAGATGTCCAACAGGCTATGGCGGGGCCTTGTGCTCATACTGCGCGGACGAGTACAAGCGCAATGTTGGCTCCAAGGTCTGTGCCGCCAGGCTGCGTTATTCTGAGATGTTCCTTTCCGTTGCAGCTTGACTTCACCGATGACTATTACAGCTGCTCGTGCTGCATCTCAAGCTGCGCGTGCTCGTTGGGTTCTTACTCAGAACCCTCAAGTTTGCATCCTCCTTGCTTTTGCTGCCACCACCGGCACCACCGCCATCCACCAGCCGCCAATTAAAGCCACGGCTTTGCCGTTATCTACCACGGCCACCACTGGCGACTCGCGACCGTTGCTATGTCTGTAGTACTAGTCGACTAAGAACAAGAACCACAGCTGTGATTAATCACCTAAACCCTAAACCCTAAACCCTAAACCCTAAACTCTAAACCCTAAACGTTACGGCCTCGCTCACTTTGGAGCGGGCAGCGGACAGGGATCCCAAAAGCAGCAAACAGGAGCATCAGCTGCCGCAACGGTGATACTGGAGTGGAGGTTATTGGAGGTTGCAGTGGTGACGATGTTTCCTTGTGAATTGCTGATGGTGCTTGCGAGATCCGTACTACGAATACGGCCTTGACTGCCACGAAAACAGTTAAACAATGAAGCCGCTCCTTTTCCCTGGCCTAGTTTTGTCCTTATCCGGTTGGCCATTGGCCGAGGAAAAGTGCGCACGTGACGGACGGTTTGGTGGTTGGACATACGCGAGCCTTGCCCTTGCCATTTACGATTTCAGGGATTGGTGCATAGCCGTTAGCCTAAATCCCAAATCCTAAACCTCCCGAAATCCTATACCCTATAGCGGCTGTTGGTGTAGATTCGGAAAGTCGTCAAGGCGGAGGCCGTTTTCAGAGATGTCTTGGTAAGTGTGTAGAAGGCAGAGGGTCCAAAGATACCACTATGAATTTGGAATTAGGATAGTAGTATGTATGGGACCCTCTTGGTAAGGCAGTGGACCCGCTATCATCCAGCAGTTTGACTTGGAGAAAGTGCATCATTACTTAGACCTTCAACTGATGCTTATCTTTCCACCGCTTCAAAACAGGCGCCGCTAATTTGACAGAGTTTAGGAGATGATGTCGTTCTGAACACGTGAAACCCTGCTTGTCCGTACGATCCACTGCAACGGGCTTGTTTTCTAGTCCTTGCTACTCCTATCTCCTGAAGCATGCAGGCCCACCTGATCTGAAGATTTCTCAATGCGAGCCAGGTGTGAGTGGTTACTTTTCTGCCCTTGAAGTGACGACTGAATGGCCATTCACGCCATCTCAACTTTCATATCTCGTCCTCTGCATGTGCACTATAGGGTCTTTGCAATCTAGGATAAATCTCGGAGCCTATTGAGAAACCTCTGAGAGACTTCTTCTTTGGCAGATTCCCAGGCTCGATGATTTGTAAGTCAGGTTCTCTACACTGATCCCTTGACCGCATAACGCTTGTTGCAGCCCCCGGGAAAGGACAGTAACATACGTGAACCTTGTAATTATTGGCGATTGCAATAGTGTTGCAGCGCAAGGCCAAGCATCACTTGTAACATTTGCAACTCCTACATTTGACGTGAGCTGTAGTGTTTTTTCTGTAGTTCTATACGTAAGGCAGCTGCAAGGCTGCCGGATATGACTCAGAAGGCTACTTCATAGCACAAGGGACGTTGCGTGGTGATGGGCTCCGCGGCCCCCCCCCCCCTCCCCTCCCATGTCCAGGAACCCCCCCCCATCCCCTGTGTGGGGTGGGGTGTGGCGTCCCTCTTCCGCCTGTCGGATGAGGGGGTCCTAGCCTACTGTTTGTAGGGTTTGGGGTCACTGGAAAATCAACGTTTGGGGAGTTTCGAGCTGCCGCTTGGTCCCCACAACTGTATAGCTGTGTATATGTCTGTATGTATATATATATATGTATATATGTATATATGTATATATGTATATATATATACACACACACACACACATATATACATATACACATATATACATACATACACACATACACACACACACATACATACCTACCTACCTACCTACCTACCTACCTACATACATACATACATACATACATACGAGACACACACACACAAACACACCCTCACACATGTGAATTCGCTGATCGACTTGTCAACCTGGCTTCGTGGCTGATGATCAGGCGTCCTTCGAAGCTGAGCAGGATACCGAGCATCTCTGAGTGTTGTGGCCCTTCACTTGCTTGCCGTGTCCTACAGGAAACACCCTTATGGTTGACCTTTTCACAGTACCTGGCAGTAACCTTATAGTATCCTTATAGTAAGTGTCAGAGTCTGGGCATCGAAACTGAACCCAATGCTTATCCAAGTAGAGTTCATTTTGCGAGTTCGCTTGTCTTGCCTTCTGGTGCTTTGATTGGTCGTCGCAAGACACTGAGAAGCCTCGCCCCCACCAAGTTGTGCATCGGGCTTCGTCATGTCGTCCCCGACAAGTTGTTTTGTTCGGAAACTTTTCTAGAGAAACTTCTGACACCCGGCCGTGCCGCTGAGTCTCAGGTTCAGCGCCCTTGAAGAAGAGATGAAGATGGAAGCTTTGGCAGGCCTTGTGCTATTTTTCAAGCGTGCTGTGAGCGCTGTCCTCGTGCTTGTCAGGTATCAGCTCTGCGAAGCCATCTTATTTGCCAGTCAGCTGCTGAGAGATTCTGTCAGTAAACTCATCTGTACCACCCCATTCCCCGGGGTTGGCAAATGTCCACAAGTTCGTGCACCGTCGAGTGCGAGTGCGACAGGCCGAGACACCTGCGGCGACAGAAGCGAAGGAGCCTGTGGCATCTGCTGCAGAACCTGCCGAGGCCGGATGCTCGGCAGGGGCACAGTTCGCTCGGACTCGGACTTGCTGAGTATGCGTTGATTGCAAGGCGGCGAGAGGCTGACTGCAGTGATGTCACTTGCGTTTACTTTTGCATAGTTCTGGCCATCCACACACTGGTCCCTGGATTTGCCGTCGCTTTCACTGGAAATCTCCGCATGGTGCTTCATGGGGAAACCTGCTGGGGCCTCGGCCGATGCGAGCCCGCCGTGCTTGTGAGCTGCCAAGTCAAGCAAAGAGGTACAGCGACCCAGCCATGCAGCGCCGAGCTCCTGCTTCGTCTTTGTTAATGACTTACAGTAAGCCATGCTCACACAGTACGCTTGGCAACACCGGAGCTGTATCGGACAGCCTCCGTCCTCAGTCAAGGATTTCAGAGAAGCCGGTCAGTTAGCTTCTTCAGCAGAGGCTGCACAGAGAATGGCTGTGCTCAGAGGACAAAGCGTCCGGGAGTAAGTGTGCAAGACACTACGGTGGCATGTCAAGCAGCTTGACGCGTGTCTATAGTCTGTGCTCGCCCTCACCAACCGCCGTTTTCGCATAAAGTCGATGATGTGAAACTACTCAAAGTAGAGCTGCAGACGTGGCGAGACGTGGCGAGGCAGATTTCCGGGCTGGGATGGGGCGAAGTTTCTGACCTTTCCAGAACTAGGATGCTCGAGTTCCTGCGGGACAGCCTGATGTGTACAGAGGAGTACAGGCCTCAAAGGCTGGCGCAGCAAAGGCAGAAGGGGCATTGATAACAAAGCACCTCAGTGACTCAGGCCAAGCCAGAAGTCTTCTGGGCGTCGGTCGGTTACCGCAGCTTGTAGAGTTCGCTGCAGCACTTCTGGCATGCTTTGCTGAGTAAGGGCGGTTTGTTGCACTGGCACACCGGCTCCGCAAACCAGGAGGAGGACGGGTGCTTGTTACAGTACAGGCTTCGCACGATGGGGGATTGCTCGCCTCAAGGCCTGCAGAAGTGATCTCATCGCAGGCCAGGTCGGCACACTGGGCCATGATATGCATACCACTACCAAGACTACCCCTGCTGCTGCTGCTGCCGCTGCTGCTGCCGCTGCTGCTGCTGCTGCTGCGACCACCACCGCCGCCGGCACCACCACCACGACCACCGCCACCACGACGACGAATAATGACAATAGTACTAGTAAGAATGATAGTAGTCATAGCAATCATCATCATCATCATCACCATCATCATCGTCATCATCATCCTCGTCATCACCATCATCATCGTCATCATCATCATCACCGCCATCACCATGATCAGCATCATCATCATCACCATCATCCCCATCATCATAATCATCATCATCATCATCACAACTGAAGCCTTACTCTTAAGCATGTTAGTACAGTAGCAGTGACAATACTAATTGTAAGCATAAACAGATGATTATAGGAGAAACAATGCTCGAATTCTGTAGAATGTGTGTGTGTGTGTGCACGGGTGTGTGTGTGTGTGTGTATGTATGTATGTATGTATGTATGTATGTATGTATGTATGTATATACATATACATATACATATATACACACATATATCTATATATATATATGTAACTATATGTATATGTATATGTATATGTATATGTATATGTATATGTATATGTATATGTATATGTATATGTATATGTATATGTATATGTATATGCATGTGCATGCGTATGTGTAGGTGTATGTGTACATGTACATGTACATGTATGTGTATGTGTATGTGCATGTACATGTACATGTACATGTACATGTGCATGTGCATGTGCATGTGCATGTGCATGTGCATGTGCATGTGCATGTGCATGTGCATGTACATGTATATGTATATGTATATGTATATATATATATATATGTATATGTATATGTATGTGTGTGTGTGTGTGCGTGCGTGCGGGTGTGCAGGGCGCCCCAGTGCTGGCAAAGAGCGAAGTTCCGGCCGCCTTGCCCTGGGATCAGCCTCGACTGAAGAGGCTAACGACGGTCTAGGGTTGAGGGTTTGAGTTTTAGGACTTGGGGTTAGGCTAGGGTTCGGATGATACTTGAGCTGTTTCCCTGCGAGGGACACGCCTCCCCTCAGAAACAGGCACGGGGTGCCGACTCTGTCTGCAAGCCCGAGCAGCTAGAGCGATGGCGGCAAGGTCACCAGTGCAGACATTCAGATCAACGCCGTTCGCGCCTCCGGATTCAGCACCGCTCAGGAAGTGTGGCGCTGTGCAGAGTCTGCCTCAAGGTCCCTCAGTCCACTGGGGAATGCGCTCGTGAGTCTCCGAGTTGGCACAGACGAGCCTGCTCTGACTGGAGTCGAACCGCCCGTGAGACTCCGTAAGGCTTGTTCTGGTGCTGCCTTGGCCCAGCAGGACCGAGAAGACGCTTTTGCTGCTCGTCTCGAGCTTCGTGCAAGGGTGCTTTATGAGCTAGAATAAAATATACTACACTATAATGTACTTTAATGTCCTAAAGCTTAATATAATACACTTTAGCAGACTCTAGCAATATCATAATGTACAATGGCACACTAAAGTGTATAGGGCTTCCGAAGGACGACGGCCAGCCCGGCCGGGGTCTCTATGTGGCAATGCAGCGAGGCCTCTTCTGGTGTGCCCAAGAGAAAGTGTACTAGAGGATCTTATGGTGTATGATTGTGACTGTATTATGGTATCTTAGAGTACAGTGTGCTACATTGTGATGTATTGTAGTACATTTTGGTATACTATAATAGATGATTGTGTAGTCTAGTACGTTCTAGTATCCCGTGCAGGCCTTGGGCCGCGGGAACCTCCAAAACAGGCGTCGCTCTCGTCGGAGAGTCTTCTTCAGCGCCTTCTTATCTCCAGTGCATGAAGAGGCCTTTGCCGTTTTGCCGAGGCGAGAGACCGTCGGCATGATCCTTCGCCCACCAGGCCGGCAAGCCTGGAACGCACCGTAGCCCGAAGTTTCCATGGGAGAAGTGCACCGATGATTCTTGCTGCTCAAGAGCTTTGGACTCTTTTTACAGGCCAGAAAGACCGATTCGGCCTCATGAGGTGCCTTTTCCTCGTCTTCGGGCTCTTGGGGCAGGCAGTTGGCACCGACTTGTCGGAGAGTTGCTCATCGGACTCCGGCTGTGAGGAGAGCGCTCTCACGCAATTGGCTCGTCGACAAAATGTCTCCCAGGCGCAGTCTCCGTTCTTTTCCAGCCACGACAGCTTCATGGAAAATTGGGCCAGCCTGGTTCTTGGAGATTGCTGCACGATGTTCCCTGACTA